TCGCCAACGCGTCGCTCGCCGCGGCGCCGACCTCCGCTCAGATGGCGGCGGCCTTTTGCGCGGGCGCGCAGGCGGTCGGCCGCTACGGCGGCGCAAGCGAGGGCGACCGAACCATGCTCGACGCGCTGCTGCCGGCGGCCGCCGCGTTCACCGCCGCCGCCGCCGCGGGCGCAAGCCGCGCCGCCGCCCTCGCCGCCGCCGCCGCCGCCGCCGAGGATGGCGCCGAAAAGACCAAAATCATGGAGGCGCGAGCGGCGTGTGCGGCCTGGCCGCTTCGGCGCGGCGGTCCACGTCTCCTCACCGCCGCAGCTGTGAGTAGGCTCACGCGGGCCGCTCGTCGTACGTCCCGATCGAGGTGCTGCGCGACACGCGCCGTCTTTCGGCCGCACGCTTTCTTTTCCCACGCATATTTCTTTTTTGTAGGTTCTGCGCGACGTGCGCCGGCCCGTAGATGGCGGGAGATCTGCCCGTGTCTCCCCCCCACCTCTCGAGGCGTAGCATGCGGGGTGCTCATTCGAGTACCCCGACTCGCTCTTGCGAAAGACACGAGTCTCCCGCTGTTGTCCGCTGCGTTCCGCTCTACGGACAGCCCGCGCGGTGTTCTCTGCAAGACGCCGTCGCCACGACCTGACTCTTGGTGGACCCATATGTCGCAGGTGCCCGACCCGGGCGCGAAGGCGGCCGCTTGCTGGCTCAGCGCCATCGCCAAGGCCGCGGCCGAGTAGGCGCCGCCGGTGCCCTCTCCGTCTGTTTAGCCCCCCGGCCGTGGGGGAGCGCCCGGCCCTAGCTCAGCCGAGATTTTCCCCTTTGTTCACCCCTCGTATTCGCCTGTGTGGCTCGCTTGGTGCACATGAGCGCGCCCGTGCGTGTTACACGCGACGGGCCATGCAACAACATGCATGGCATAGCATGCACCATGCGTGCCGGAACGAGGTCTTGCTGGGGGCCGTGCTGGGGCACCTAGTTAGCCATCCGAGGATCTCGGCTACATATATGTGTGATGACATAAGTCACATTTCGGAACAGAAGTGAAGCGTCGTTGATTCGACTTTCGAGTTTCGTGGAGTGTGTCCTGGACAGTCGACAGACCAAAGAGCGCGCGCTGTATCCTGTATACGGTAATACGCGCTATGTATATGCAGCAGATAAATGACGTCGAATGACGGTATGGGGTATGGCGTTGGGGGGTACCCTGACTGAGTACTACTCCTCCCTCTCTCCCTTCCCCTCAGGCGGAGGCAGAGAGCTCTCTAAACTCGCACGCCCACGTAGGCTAAGGCTTGGCTGTACTCGGCTGCGTTGGACGCTGCTCTCCGGCACCGTCAAGCGCCGGACGCTCTGCTCTAGTTTCGAGGACGCCTCCCTTAGACTGGGCTTGATGCGCGGCTCGCTCATAGCGCGCGCGAGGAGCAGCAAGCTCGCAGGCCGATAGATGCCGTCCTTGAGCGGCACTGCCACCTCCGAGTAGACCTGGGGCCGCGAGAGGGGCAGATGGCGATCTGTGAGTCTTTGGTGCGGCGTGTGTTAGCGCATTGGTGTGGCCCCTCACGTTGCGTTGCAGCAGCTCGATGGGAGTGGCGCCATCCACGGAGTCGAGCAGGTCGTCAAATTTGACGCCGGCGTGCCTCCCCGCAGCGTCCGGCTCGAGGTACTCGAACGGTTCGGTCTCGTGGACCAGCAGCAGGTGGACGCGGCGTCGCATGGCGGCCTTCACTTCGTCTGTGAGCCCGTCTACCCGCCGCTCGCCCTCGCCCTCAGCAGCCGCCCAAGTGCGCCCGTCGAGATACAGCAGCATGTGGCTGCACGTTGCGACGTCTTCGACTGAGGTCGTCACCTCAAGCTCTATCCCGAACTGCTGCAGCAAGCGCGACAGCTCTTCGGTCAGCTGCAGCGCGCCGGGGTTTTGCGGACTGGCGTAGATGCGAAACTTCTGCGAACCAGCGATGGGCTTCCAATCAATGCTGATACCCGTATTCGTGTACAGCCCCGAGCAAGCAGCCGGCTCCTCGGCGCTTTGTATCCCCTCGACTGCGCGCTCAAGCGCCTCTGCAGAGAGTGACAACTTGGACGAACGCGAGAATGGGCGAGGACTGGCGCATCGTCGTCGTCAAGCTGGCCGACCGGCTGCACAACATGCGGACGCTGCGGCATATGCCGAGGCACAAGCAGGTGCGCGTCACGCGGTTTTGGAGGGCGTACCCAAGCGAGCCCGTTGTTTCCCAGGTCGATCTTGGCAACGACGGCGTTGTAGCCCCAGCCGTTGGCTCTCTCGCCGAACTTGGCGTTGTCGAAATGGACGAGCGTGCCGTTCGAAAGGGGGAACGAGAGGCGGCCGCGATGGCGACCGGCGATCACGACGTGCTCAGCGTTGCCCGCCTTCTCGAAGCTGTCGATGGCACCAAAGAAGCTGAAGCCGCCCGAGCCGCCATTGACCGAGCCGCCTTTCGCCGGGTCCTTGTTTGAGATGCCGTTGGTGATGCCGTCGACGGGCATCGTGTCCACGAAGTAGACGCTCTTGGGCGCGCCGTCCTCATCCAGCGTGTAGAGGACCACGTCCATACCGTGCTGCGTGGTGGCCGGGTTCTGGCCGTTGTCGCAGCAGCCGGTGCCGTTCGGCCCGCCGCTGATGATGCAGCAGGTGTCGGCGTCGTGATGCGAGAAGGTCAGCGTGGAGAGGGTGAACGGATCGGGTTGGGTGCCGCTGTGGTCCGTGAAGGTGCCGTTCCGATGGACCGTTCCCAGGGACAGGTTGCCGTGCGCGCGGCCGACGACGTAGATGTTTTCGTCGCTCTGAACCGCGCCATACGCGTAAGACCTGCCGTGCCCCTGCGCATGGTTGCAATGAGCGTGAGGCGCGTGAGCGTGGTGGTGTGATGGTGGCACGTGGTGGGTGTGAGGGAACAGTCACCTGGTCCCAGGTAGCCCACACCGCTTCAGGACGGGCGCAGCTGTCGTACTCCGCCGCCATCACGGCAGGGATGAAGGCGGCTAGCATGAGCCAGAGCAGTTTCTTCGAACCGGACATTTCAATCTCCTGAGCGGAAGTGGGGCGCGGAGTGAATGGAATCTCTAAGCGCGCCTGCATGCACTCGGCGGCATTCACAGACGACTACGAGGCTCCGGGGTCTGAGGTGAGAGGGGTGTGCGGGGTCTGAGGTGAGAGGGGTGTGCGGGGGGGGCGTCGAAAAGTTGGGACCGCCCGTCATGGACCCTGCACCAAGCGTTGCACCACACAGGGAGGGCCGGCGGCCAAATCTGACAGAAGACGCGTCGATGACTGCGGCGGCGGCGGCGCGCGGCAGCGACGGCACACGGCCAGCGGTGGCAAGGGCGGGGGCGGGCCGGCGTCGGCGGGTGGGCGGTGGAAATGGCAGCGGCGACGGGCTGGGCGATGGAGAAAGCAGCGGCGGCGACGGAGGGGGGCGGCGACGAGAGGGGGCGGCGGTGGCGAAAGGGAATCGGCGCGGGTGGCGGCGGTACCCGAAGCTGCGGTGCGGTGGTGCGGCGGCTCGAGGGTGATGAGAAACGAGGGCGGCGGCGGCGGCGGAGAGGTGGCGAGGGCGGCGGTGAGGGCGGCGGTGACGAGTAGGAGGACGGGCGGCGGCGGCGGCGGGGGTGGCGGCTGCGAGTGCGCACTCGCCCTGGCTAGGGTTGGCGGCGTACAGAGCCGACAGCGCACTCGCTGCAGGAGTCGCTGCAGGGGCGCTGTCGGCAGGAGTGGACGTTGAACATGTCGCGGACCTGCGCGCGCGCGAGGAGGAGGGTCGAGGCGGGGGGCGGGCGTGCTGGGGGTGCGGAGGAGGAGTGACACGCGGAAGTGTGTCGGCCGCATGGTCGGCCGTGAGCGCTCGACAGGCGGCCGCGAGAGGGTCCGATGACGTGGGGGGCAAGGCCGACTCGGAGATGCTTGAGGCGGCGCTCATGGGCGGGCTCGCTGCCGGGGCGGGCGTGGTGCTTACCGAGACGTTTTGCCGCGTGGCTCTCCGTTTGCCAAGGCCGCGCAAAGTGAGCATGATCGGGTCGGCTCTGGTGCTGGCCAGGCGCGCCGAGAGGGGATCTGAGATGAAGTGGAAGTGCTGGAGACGTCGTTGATCAAGTCGGGGGCGATTGAGGTCAGCGGTGCCGAGGTTGGCAGTGAATGAATGATGGCGGCGAACGGCGGTGACGGAGTCGACAGCGAAAGGGAACTCTGTCTTCTCGCCGGCGGCGGCTCGGATGCGCAGCGAGAGAGAGGAGCCCTTGGCTGCTGTGGCAGGGTGATGCCCGACCGCTCCGGCACGCAGACCACCAGGTGCACGCCATCCCCCGGGTGTTGGCTCGCAGCTCTCAACGGCTGGGCTGTGTAGGTCTGGAGGTGAAGCGCTTTTGCGTGTTTGTCGGCGGTGGCGGTTTGTGTGGAGTCTAGGATGAGATGTACTGCGCTGGCACACCAAGAGCCGTCGAGACCTGCCGAGGCGGACAAAACGGGGCGAATCAGGGCGGAGGGCGCTCCAGACATGCTAGGGGGAAGCACAATCACCTTGATCGAGCAGGAAATCAGAGCAAGAGTCAACCCAGAGCAGACACAAAGCTTGCACAATCGAGTCCCGCAAGCGTGCTCCTTTTGGCGATTTTTCTTTTCATCTAGGCGCGCTTACGGAAGGAGAATAATAAACACCTCAACCTGAATTACTCTCAACCTACTGCTCCACGAGACGTTCGGCGACGACCTTCTTGAGCCTCCTCTTTCTTTTTCTCGCTCACCGTTCTTTCTTTCTCACGCTGCGCCGCCTCGCGCGCAAAATCGCGCACGGAAGCGTCGACCGCACCACCTTCTCATCCAACTACCCATCTATTCCCGACAGTCAGCGTGACAGTTAAGAGAAAGTAAAAAAAACTTTTCGTGCAAGCGTGAGCACCCTTCGAGCCTAGCGAGTGCTTGCTAGCGAGTGCTTGCTATTCAAGGACAGTGCTCATGCGTCTCGCCTCAGCCGCGTCCTCACCCGCACCGCCAGCGCCGTCACGCCTCGCGAGGACGTCCACGCTCGCGCTTCTCCTGCTTGTGGGCAGCGTCGAGTCGTACCAGGGCACGATCTGCGACAACACTCAGTACGGAACATCGCTGTGCGACGGCACCTTTTGGGGCGCCGAGGTGGTACTGGACGGCCAGCGCATCTCGGGGACCATCCCTCCGCATATGATCAACAACGCCCGGGCGGGGCTGACGAAACTCCACCTGGACAACAACGAGATCTCGGGGACCGTCCCTCCGACGACGGGCGAGCTCTCGGAGCTGCAGGAGCTTCGGCTGGACAACAACGATCTCTCGGGCACCATCCCTCCGCAGCTGGGCGGCATCTCGTGGTTGAACCAGCTTTGGTTGTACAGCAACAAGATCTCGGGCACCATCCCTCCGACGACGGGCAAGCTCTCGCTGCTGCAGCAGCTTTTGCTGGACAACAACGAGATATCGGGCACCATCCCGCCCGAGCTGGGCGGCAACTTGGGGCTGAGATATCTCTACCTGTACAGCAATGACCTGTCCGGCACCGTGCCGTCGCAGCTCAACAACCTGCCGCTCACTGCGTGCAGGCTGGGCCGCAACCTCTTTGCCTGCCCCCTGCCCGCCCTTCCCGATTGCTGCCTCGAGCCGGTCGGCGGCTTCGATCCTCCGGAGTGCAACTACCTGCCGCCGCCCTCGCCGCCGCTGCCTCCGCCGCCGTCCAGAGAGATTGTCATCGGCACCACAGCAAAGTACTGGGCGCGGATCCCGTCGATGCCGCGCTCGTACTCTGTCGAGGTTGGCGACACGCTTGTCTTCATCTACCCGCTTTGGGACGTCGACGTGTGGAGCATGCCCTCCAGCGCGTGCGACTTTGCCGCCGCCGGGTTCGAGTACGGGCCAATCCTGCTGGCGGACTCCTCCCACGGCGGAGGCACGGGCGCTGGAAAGTCGAACCGATTCGAGTACCCGATGGCGGACGTGGGGACCTTCTACTTTGCGTCCCGCACCTTCTGCAGCGAGGGCCAAAGGATCACCGTCTTCGTCAGCCACCGCCCCCCGCCCCCACCGCCCACCTTGCCCCCGCCGCCCACCTTACCCCCGCCGCCGCCCTCGCCGCCTCGGCCGCTGGGCGCGCCGCCCGCCTCGCCGGCACCACCGTCACCCGACACCGGCGGCGGCGGGCCCAGCACTAATTACCTCGTCGGCGTCTTTGTCGGCGGGTTCAGCGCCGCGGCCCTCCTGGTGCTGTGCCTGCTCGCCAGGCTCAACCTCCTCCGGTGCCAAATGATCTCGCGCTCCGCAGAGCCCAGGGTGGTGAGCAGAAGCGCCGGTCCCGACTCGATACGCGCGGGCGCGCTGCGCCAGGCCGCGAGGGAGAAGGCCGAGAAGCAGAAGGGCTCGAAGAGGGCGTCCAGGCCAACGGACGCCGATATCCCGCGCAGCAGCGAGATTATGCTCCCCGATCTCCAAGGCTAGCTGTCCCGCGGGGTGAAGGACCTCTCTATATGAATGTGACTTGTGAGCGCGAACAACAGCATGAGAGAACTTGAACACGACTCACGAGATGGCGGTCCCCGTTCGAGATGTCATGGCCTCTCAATACAAATTCAAGATTATGTGAAAGGTGCGGTTTGTTCCGAAAGGTGGCGGCGCCGGACGAGGGACGACAGCTCGGATGAGGAGTGGAACGGAGACGACGACGAGGATGAGGAGGAGGACGGTCGCGTTTACTTGGACGCGTCGAAGTGTGGCCGCGTGCGCTTGCACGCGGTGCAAGGACCTGCGCAGTCGTCCTCCGGCTTGGGGGTGGACGACGAACGGCGCAAGAGCCTGGCCGACAAGGGCTGGGCACGTGAGTGAGTGTGTGTGAGTGAGTATTACACACACACACACACACACGGCTGGGCACGCCGCACGGCGGTGGTGAACAGCGTGGAAAGAAAAAACTCAAAATTCGGCGCCCGCCGGGCGATGTGTGCACTTTGAGCCTTTTCACCGGTTTTATCGACGCAGCAGATGCAGGTGACGGTTCCGGCCGGCGTGACGGTGGGCACCATGTTTCAGGTCAACACTCCGACAGGGCCAATGCAGGTCATCGCTCCCGTCGGCGCAGGGCAGCAGATGATTGTGAACGTGCCCGCGGCGCCGGCGCCAGTGGTCACAGCGACGGCGGTACCTGCTATGGGAGCCCCTGTGGTGGCGGCCGTTCCTGTCAGCGATGCGCCGTTGGTGATAGCAACGCCGGTGACACCAATGCAGGTGGCACCGACACCTCCGCCGCAGACGCAGCAAATGACGCGAACGGTGGCCGAAACTGCTGCCGGTGGGTCGCAACCACTGTGGTCGGCGCAGGAGTTAAACGGCTGCTGGATCAACTGCTACCCTAATGACTATGCCTGTTCCATCGCAAGGATGACAAACGAGGGCGACGACGTGAGGATAGGGACCGGCGTCTGCTGCGTTCTCTTAATCCCTTGTCCTTGCCCTTGCGGCGAGAGGTGGCTGCGCGAGGAGGGCACCAACAACTTCTACAAGTCGGACCATGTCGACAAGTTCACCTCCAAGACGAGTATCGAGAATGGGGCGGCGTGCTCGAGGAAGATCTGCTGACGGCCTCGGCACACGGTTTACCTGACAGCAAGGCGGCGGCGCACAAGGGATCGCACGCACAGCGCGTCACGCGCAAGGCAAGGGATATCACGAAGCGTGCGACAGGTGGATTGTGTGCGCGGTACTACGTATACGTAGTAGTTCATAGCGAGTCAGAGCATCCACTTGCCTACTTTGGAAAGCCGCTCACCCTATCGGCGCTCGCCGAGCCGCGCTCGCTTACGGCCGACGACCGTCCGGCCATGGTTCGGCTCACGCGCGCGCCACCGTGCACCGACTCGTCCGGCTTCGAGCCCCACGCCGTCGGCCGCGCCGCCGCCTATCCACCCTGCGCGATGGCGGGAGATGCGAATGAACGCGCGGAGGCGTGTGCGCGTGGGGAGCTTGCGAGAGCGTGCAGAGATGATGCGGTTGGAGTTGCAGGCCGCGGTCGGGGTACAAGGTGCGCTCTGCGAAGCCGACCGACATGCACCTGGCAGTCCGCGAAAGCTGTCAAAGCCCCAGACGCGGTGCACGAGCGACCGCTCTGTCAAGTACGGATCTCCCCCCCGCATGGGTACCCTCTAGGGCCCCCGCCGCCCGCGCCCCCCCAGAGGGTTTGTACGTGAGTTGGGTGAAATGTGTCATTCCGTGATGGAAGTCATCTCGTTTCGCGTTGACATGTTCGGCAAAGGTACAACTCTAAGGGGGGCAAGGGAGGCGAGGGCAAAGGACAAAAAGGCGGTAGTCTACGAGGGTCGTCATGCATCAGCCCGCCGGCCACGCCAACGCTCTCGACGAGAACGGCAAGCCCAAGCTCTGCCTCATCCTCAAGCCCCTCTACGGCATGAAGCAGGCGGGGCGGCGCTTCCAGCGCGCTTTCTTTGCTTGGCTCGAGCGTCCCCGCGACGAAGGAGGCGCCGGCCTCATCCCGTCCAAGGAGGACCCTTGCATCTACCGCATCACCACTGAGGACGACGAGCTCATCATCGGAGTCTACGTCGACGATCTCATCATCTTCTACAAGCGCGACCCCGAGTACGACGCCGAGGGGGCTCTTGTCTCCGACTCGCTCTACGCGCAGTTCGTTCGCGACATCGACGCCTCGTGGAAATCTGAGGACGAGGGCCCGCTCTCCGACATCCTCAACGTCCAGGTCACCCCACTCGCCGAGGGCGGTGTTCACGTCGGGCAGGGGCCGTACGTGCGCAAGCTCCTCGACGAGTACCTCGACCAGATCATCGCCGAGCTCCCGAACCCCGCCGAGCCCGGCGCCCGTCACTCCAACAACACGCCGTTCACCCTCAGCATCGCAGAGCGAGTTCAAGCGGCCACCGACGACACCAGCGAGAGGGAGCTGCGCGTCGTCCGCCTCTTCCAGAGCTGCCTCGGGGCTCTTCTCTACCTCGTCTCGAACACGCGCCCCGACATCGCGCTCCCCGTCGGCCTCCTCTGCCGGGCCATGGCGAAGCCCACACCCGCTCTGTTCGAGGAGGTGTACTGCGTCCTGTGCTACCTCCGCGAGTACCCTGACCTTGGTCTTACCTACAACGGTCGGGGCGAGTCGGCCGCCGACGACGAGCTCCACGCCTTCAGCGACGCCGACTGGTCGGCCCGTCGATCCACGTCTGGCTGGCTCGTCCGCCTGTGGGGCGCCACGCTTGACTGGAGGGTTCAACAGCAACCCACCGTCTCCCTCTCTTCCTGCCAGGCCGAGATCATGTCCGCCTCGGAGGCGACCAAGGACGTCGAGCAGTACCGGCGTCTGCAGGAGGAGGTCGACGCGCTCCCCGATGGCTCCCCGCGCCCGCCGACGAAGCTTTACGTCGACAACCAGGCCGCCATCGCCTCCGCCTACAACCCGGAGCACCATGGCAAGCTCAAGCACGTCGAGCGACGCCACTTCTACATCCGCGAGGCCATCGAGGCGCACCGCCTCTGCGTCCCCTTCGTGCGTAGCGACGCCAACCTCGCCGACTTCTTCACGAAGCCGCTCAAGCCCAAACGGTTCTTCGAGCTTCGTGACAAGATCATGAACATCAAATCTCCGGTCATGAACATCACGTTCCCTAACGCATCGTGATCCGAGAGTGCACGGTTACTCGACTATGTCGTTACTCGACTAAGTCGAGGGGGGGGACGTCGGGCCGAAGCCCGTCAGGCACTCTCTCCCTAACCCTAGCCTTCTCCCGAACCCTAGTGTGTTTTGTTGCCTCCGTGCTTTCACACTCGTCTCGTCGTGTCCGTCCACTGTGATTGCGGCCGTCCACGACTACGTCGTCTCTAGAGAACGTATCGACCCCCTTCTGGTGCCGACCGCGCCCCCGCGGGGCACGGCCGGACGGTCGGCTTTTCTTCAACTTGCGCCGAAAGCACCGAATTGGCGGACGTTCTTGGTTTCAATTTACGGATGTCTTGGCACCAGCTTGAGCACTTGAGCACTGGATAGGGTCGATTCCGCATGGTACGGGACCCCTCGATCGTCTCGCCCTCCCTCACTGGTGTGTTCATTGGGGGGGGGTCAAAACAAACACGGTACAGGATCGAGGTGCACGCTGCCGAGGCAGTGTCGTCCCCCCTCTCCCCGACGGCGATGGCGGTGTGACCGATCGAGCTACAAGAGGAGCTTGTTCAGCAGGATCCAGGATAGTCTGACGCACTGCCTCAGGGTCTGAGATCATCGAGACGCTTCCCATCACCGTCTCGGGACTCGGCACCAGCTGAAGAGGAAGAGAGAGTAGATCTCTCTCCCAGCTGAAGGCTTGCACGGCCGAGATCACATGGTTTCATTGCAGATTTGTCAATGGTACCGCGTCGGCGACGCGGGCGCCTTGCGAGCACTGATAGCTGTAACCGCTCACCGCACACACCGGGGGAGGCGCGGGGTGGAAACCGCCGTCAAAACCGCGATGTGTGGCGAGACCCGAGTGCCGAGACGCTCCAGCGCGCAGCGGGGAGCGGGGCGACCGTCCTGTCCACAGCGTCTTCGGTTCTCTGGGGGGGCGCGGGGGCCCCCGGAGGCACCTGTGCGCCGCGCAGCAGTGCGGAAACGGGGCTCCGGCGCTCAGAGTCGCTCAGAGCACCGACTTCCCGAATAATCAGGGTTGATCAGAGGGCAGATTTGGAGAGATCTCGAGGAGTACATACAGATAGACCCTCCAATCATCAGAAAACTCCAACTTGATCGGTCGTACTGACCGCCGACAGATCCACTCTTACTAGACAGCAGACAGGCCGACGTCTGCACGCGGCCGGCCGGGCGAGAGGCTTGACACGATCCGACCCTGCGACCCTGACGCTGCTGCTCTAGCTATCAGCCATGCACTGCTGACTGCTGCCACAATGTGCGACCGGTGCTGGCCCTCCTGAGGGAGGGTGTAGAGGATGTAGAGTGTAGAGCGCTGTAGAGCTGTAGAGATGTAGAGCGCTGTAGAGCTGTAGAGCTCTACATCCGCCGCGTGACGAGGCGGGTGCGTTGTAGAGCGATGTAGAGCGCGATTTTGCTATAGAGTTTGTTGTACCTCTACAGCCAACCCGCCGGGAAGGCAGTGACTCAAAGAGGTCGAGCCGCACTAATGGGGTGTCTCCGAGCTTACTGGAGCTCTGATGGACGGCCCCGACTATCCCTGACACACAGAGAGTCACTCTGACGGCACACAACACCCTATAACTGCGTCATGACCAGCCTGCCATGCGTCGCCGGTGCCGCATTCGTCGCTGTGCTTCAGGCGGTGGACTGTCGGCTGCGAGGACGGTCGCATTTGCGCGAGCGAGGCGAGCATTCAGACGCGTTGCATGCGCCATGACTCGCGCCAGCGCGTGCGGGAGCTCCTGGCTGAGCGTTGAGTCCAGGCGAGTTGCGCTGGCCACGATCGCTACGCCAAGCTGAGCTAACGCGCCGAGGCGCCGGCCAGTCGCAGCCGTGAGGCATGCCACAGCAGCAGAGGCACCTGAAGTGGCACCTGCCACCCATTGGGCGGGCAGACAGAAGGCCAGGGCAGCACTGGCAAGTGCAACGCGCCTCATGTCGGAGAGCGACCGTGCCTCGTTCGCCGCTTTATGATGTAGAGTTTGTTGAGCACTTGAGCACCGGATAGGGTCGATTCCGCATGGTACGGGACCCCTCGATCGTCTCGCCCTCCCTCACTGGTGTGTTCATTGTAGAGATTTCACGTTGTAGAGCGCCTCTACATCGCTCTACAACGCACCCGCCTCGTCACGCGGCTCCAGAGCGCTCTACATCTCTACAGCTTGAGCACTTGAGCACTGGATAGGGTCGATTCCGCATGGTAGTTGGTACGGGACCCCTCGATCGTCTCGCCCTCCCTCACTGGTGTGTTCATTGGGGGGGGTCATAACAAACACGGTACAGGATCGAGGTGCACGCTGCCAGAGCAGGTGTCGTCCCCCCTCTCCCCGACGGCGATGGCGGTGTGACCGATCGAGCTACAAGAGGAGCTTGTTCAGCAGGATCCGGGATAGTCCGATGCACTACCTCACTGGGCCTGAGACCATCAACGACAGCATCCCGTCACCCCTCCGGATTTGTGTGGGGTCGAACCACTCCGGGATGGGCAAGCCCATTGTTGTAACGTCAGCTCGCCTGCGATAGGAAGCGGAGGATACGGGGTCCACTCCGAAGAGAGTCGGGCGGGAGGGGGGTGGGGCCAGCAGGGAGGGAGAGGGGGGGGGGGCGGGGCGGGGGGGTCGACCAGGGGGGGGGGGGACGAGCGGGGGCGCAGCCAATTGCGAATCGAGATTCTACAGCTCTACAGACTACAGCACTCTACACTCTACATCCTCTATCTACACCCTTCCTCAGTGGCCAACTTGGCGGCCTTCCCGGTCAGTGGTGAGGCCGTGAGGCGCAGTTCAGAGCTGTCGATGGCGCGATGCCGCACTGGTCCCACATCGGTGACACACGAGACCACCGCAAGTTTGCCATCCCTGGTGTGGACGGTTTTTTTCGCGGTATCCGCGGCGGGATATGGCGGGATATGGCGGGATAAAGCCGTATGGCGGGATACCGGGAGATCCGGTAGATACCGGTAGATACCGGGAGATACCAGAGGAGATACCTGCGAGAAGGTGCGTGGTCCCTCTTGACTGCCCATGCGCGCGAGGCTGTGTAGGCATAGCCTCGATAGTTTGTGACGGGCATTGCGGCGTCAGAAGCGAGTAGGCAAGGGTCGCTCACACAAGCGCAGCACAAGTGACTGAGGGCCATCACACAGGCACAGCCACAACAAAGCCGCGCTTCTCGTCGTGTCGCGCGCCCCCCCCGCGGACTCACCCCTCCTTACAGACGGCTAACGCTCTGGCGTTAGCCCCCCCCCCCCTCTCTCGCCGCCGCCCGCGCCGTCATGCATCCCCTCACGACTCCACAACGCCGCGCCACTACTCGCGTGCGGGCCCATCACCAACCCCTCCCCCGCTCGCGACTGCGCGGACCTCACAGTAGTAGACAGGGCCGGCCGGCGGCGGCGCGAGGGCCGTCGCCGCCGCCGCCGCCCGCGCTCCTCGCCCCCCCCCCTCCCCCCTTCCCCCTCTTCGGACGGTCGGGGGCTGGGGGCGCGGCTAGGGGGTGGCGCTCGAGGCGGCGGCGGCGTCGCTGTCCGCGTACCCGACGGTGCAGTCGAGGGTGAGCTGCTGCGTGGCGACGTCGTAGTTCATGTTGACCTTGGTCACCTTCGCGTGCTGCACGTCGTGCCCCGCCACCGACACGTAGTCGAACGCCTTCCACTGCTCGGGCAGCCGGAGCAGCTTGCGCGCAATCTGCGGCTCGCGGAGGCGGACGCCGTACGAGGTCTTGGGCGCCGCCTGCTCCTCGTCCCACGCCTCCTTCTCCCGCTCCCACTCCGCTAGCCGCTGCGCCTCGGCCGCCTCGAACCCCTCCTTGCGCCGCTTGTCCAGCTTGTCGAACTTGCCCGCCAGCGCCGCGCGCGCCTTGCCGCCGGGCGCCGCCTCGCGCGCGGGCGGGGCGGGCGCCTCGCCCGAGGTGTCGGAGTGCGCCTCGGTGGAGCTGGCGTCCTCCCGCGCCGGCTCCTCCTTCGCCGCCTCCGCCGCCGCGAAGGCGCTGAAGCCCGGCCGCTCCTCGTCCACCTCTGGCCGGCGGGGCGGCGCTCGCCGCTTGGGCGTGAAGGAGACCGTCATCGCCGACGAGGCGGAGGGGCCGCCCTTGGCCTCGCCCTCGCGGCGCTTGGCCATGTTTGGCAGCATCGTGTTGCACGACACGTCGAACAGCTCCTTCGCGAACTCGAGCTTGATCGGCCCCACCTTGACCGACGACTTTGCAAAGATCTGCTTGCGCCACGGGTCCGTCTTCATCGCGGCAAACTGCCGGTTCGCGGCGCTGAGGACGGCGCGCCCGACGGAGCGCCAGGCGTCGGCGGCCTCCGCCTTGCGGTCCGCCAGCGCGTACACGCCCTGCAGCTGCTCTCGGCTCATGCTCACCCCCAGCTCCTCGGGCGTCAGGTCGGCCGCCGCCGGCCGCTTTGCGGGCGCCTTGCGCTTGGGCGCGGGCGCGGGCTTGCCGGGCGGCGGCGCGGGCATCTCGAGCGGGACCGAGCGCCGCTTCTCCGCCGCGCCCTGCAGTGCGCGCCGCCCGGCGAGGGGCGGCGGCGGCGGCGAGCGGTCGGCGCTGCTCGGCGCGCTGCCAGCGGGCGTCGCCTCCCTCGTGGGAGGCAGCTCGAAGGGGTCGGCCGTGGGGGTGATCCGGCCGGCGCGGTGCTTCCTGGTCCGGCTCGAGACCCGGCCCGGCGACGGCTCCGCCCGCCGCTTGCGCCCCGCAATCGAGGGCGGCATTGTGTGCTCCCGCCTGTTTTTCCCGCGTTATGTGGGCGGTGGATTCTCTATTTTTGTGAGCGCTAGCTGACAGTTCTTCACCTTCCACATACATACATACGCTTGCTGGCCGACCGCCAATAAGCGGTCAAATGCCCAACCTATAAATGGAAATAAATAAACAGAGCAGGCATCGGGAGAGATGAGCGACGCACGAACACATACACAGTCCTTTACACAGCCCTTTATCCCTCGTTTGCCCACTTTGGCTGGTGTTTTTCTTTCTTTCACTGGGACAATCTAGTGAGGCGTTAGGTTAGGAAGGAAGGTGCCTGCTGAACAAGCTCCTCTTGTAGCTCGATCGGTCACACCGCCATCGCCGTCGGGGAGAGGGGGGACGACACTGCTTCGGCAGCGTGCACCTCGATCCTGCACCGTGTTTGTTATGACCCCCCCCAATGAACACACCAGTGAGGGTGGGCGAGACGATCGAGGGGTCCCGTACCATGCGGAACCGACCCTATCCAGCCAGTGCTCAAGTGCTCAAGAAAAGCCAGGCTCGGACTGGGACACCAACGCGGTATGGGTGGACGCGGGACAGATGATGACGACACGCACGAGCGACATCAGGCGTTTCCGGCCGAAAAAAAGAAGGCAAAAAAGGGCTAAATCTAGGAAAACAAAAATCTATCCCGCACGTCGTGGCACTATGACGAGGTTAGATGCGGCCGCAGCGCGCCCACCACAGTCTCGGTGGGGCGCGCGTGTTAGCGAGAAAGTTGCGGGGAGAGCTGCTCCGGAAAAAAGAAAAGAGGACTTCGCGTCGACGCGACACAAGCAGCGCACGCAGCACCAGCGAGCGCCAATCCTGCGCCTCCGCACCGCTGCTCCGCGATGCAGTCCGACGACGTCGTCTGGACCATCATCAACCAGCGGTTTTGCTCCTTCAAGGCCAAGACGCGAACGCAGACTTTCTGCCGCAACCAGTACAACGTGACCGGCCTCTGCAACCGCACCAGCTGCCCGCTCGCAAACTCACAGTGAGCTTGGCCCTCGCACACCTCCGTCGGGGATGGGCCCGGAGGTGAGCCGGCCGTTTACCGCGGCGGCGCAGGTATGCCACGATCGAGGAGAAGGAGGGTCGACTGTACCTCTGCATGAAAACCGTCGAGCGCGCGCATTTGCCCAACCAGCTGTGGGAGCGCGTGCTGCTGCCCAAGAACTATGCGCAGGCGCTGGCGATGATTGACTCGCAGGCGCGCCTCCTCCCGCTGTGTCGGCGCCCCTCTCCACTCCCCCCGTCGCCCTGACGTGGGGCGTCTCGCCGGCCGCCTGCAGCTCGAGTACTGGCCAGAGATTGTCAAGCACAAGTGCAAGCAGCGCCTGACCAAGATGACGCAGTACTTGATCCGCAAGCGGAGGCTGCGGCTCAAGCCACAGCCCACGCTGGAGCGAGTGCACAAGAAGGCGCGCCGCCTGCGTCGCCAACCGTGCACCGGGAGGGCTGAGGCAGGCTGAGGCGCCGCCTCCCTCCCTCCCCGCGCCGCAGGTGGAGGTGCGCGAGGCGAGGCGCGAGGCCAAGGCGGAGAAGGCGGCGCTGCTCGACCGGTCGATCGAGCGCGAGCTGCTCGCGCGGCTCAAGCAGGGCACCTACGGCGACATCTACAACTTCCCGATGGCTGAGTACGAGAGCGCGCTCGACGCAGAGGAGGCGGAGGCGGAGGCAGAGAAGCAGCGGCGGGCGGCGGAGGCGAAGCGCCTCCCACCCCACGCCCGCCCCCCGCCACTCCACCCGCCCCCCCCCTCTCCCGTCGGCGCGCGCCCCGTCGCGCCCGCCGCCCCGCCCCCTCCCTGCCCCACCGCCTCTTTCGCCCGTGCAGGAGGGCGAGGGCGAAGGCGAGGAGGGAGACTTTGTGGCGATGGAGGAGGAGGACGAGGAGGAGTACGAGTACGAGGAGGAGGGGTGGAGCGACGGCGCGATCGAGGAGGGCGAGGAGGGCGAGGAGGGGGACAGCGGCGAGGGCGGCAGCGACAGCGAGGGCGCGCCCCGCCCTGCTTCTCCTCTCCCACTCGGATCTCTGCCCCCTCGTGACCGCTGCGGCGCTCGCCCCCGCCTTCCCTGGGCGCAGGCGACGGCGAGTCCGAGTCCGAGGACGGAGAGCCGCCCAGCGAGGACGACGATGGCCGGCCGCCGACGCCTGCCGCTCGGCCGGCGGCGCCTAAGCGGCTCGCGCCCGAGCGGAGGGCAGTCGCGGGCAGCAGCGGTGCGCAGAGCAAGCGCCGGCGCGGGCGGCGCGAGATCGAGTACGAGGAGGAGCGTGCACCTCTCACGATGCAGACCGCCGCGATGCACGATTGGTGAGGCGGGCGGGCGCTGCAGCCTTGCTTGTTTTGTGCGTCGTGTCGGCGCGGAGGTGATTGTGAAAGAGGAGAAGAGGGGGAGGGGGAGGGAGAAACACAGAACATCTTTTCATGTGAGCTCGCCGCGCGGCGACGCGAACCCGAACGGACGACGCCGCGGACCGCACCCCGGGCCCGGCGGCGGCGCCGCCACCCGGCCGTGCGCGCTGGCGCTCTCGGTCTCGCGTTGTTGTTCGTCGTTCGGTTTTTTCGCAACGGTTGATTGTGCGAAAAACTCCCAGTCGGCAGTCGCGCGGTCGGGCGCCCTACTGCCTACCCTTTCGGGGGGTCGGGTGCCACTGTAGCCGCACCCGACACTGCTCCTGACACTGCCATATGAGAGAGCCGTACCGAGAGCGGCGCGGCGTCACGACATCTCTCCCGCCGGCGCCGGCGGCGGGCCGGCGGCGCCGGGGCGGCGCGCGGCGCACGGCCGGAGGCGGAGCGGGGCGGAGAGAGTGAGACTAGTGTGAGAGGCGCAGAGAGGCGCGCCACCCCCAGACGCGCCACACACCACAGCGCGGTTATTCCACGCCTGACGCCCTCGCTCGACCGCGGCCCGTCTATTTTTCCTGTCAAGACGCACGAACCCGAGGCACAGCGCGCACCGTGCCAAAAAATAAGTGGTGGCTAGGTCCTAGGAGCCCCGATATTCAGATTCGGAAACCTCCACAGGATGCCAGTTTCGCCAGTTCCCATATCCGGGGCACGTGAAGCACTCCCACTCCCCCCACCGCCCTCCGAGCGCCTGGTCGCGCCGCGCGCGCAGCTCATCCACTAGCCCCGCAAGGACCGCCTCGAAGCTTGGGAAGACGGCGTGGCGGATGCAGTGGCTCGAGCTCGCCATCACGGCTTCACCAGCCATGAGAGAGGCTGGCGCACCTCGCCCACCCTCGGCGTGACGCACTGCCTCCATCCGCACAAGTCGCTCCCTAAGGCCGGCGGCGATCAGGTCGGGGCGCTCCTCTGCTGCACGCTCCCACTCCGGCTCGGGATCAGAGAAGGCGTAGCCGATCGACGCGAGGCTGTCGTCATCCCAGCAGTGGAAGGTGACGAATCGGCTAAAGGTGAAGCTCCCCGGCTCAGTGCCCGCCTTCCATTCGACACACAGCCAATCTTGGTCGTCATCGTAGGCGTTGGTGCCCAGGAGCAAAAGCGCGCCAGCATCGTTCAAAAGCAAGCGGGGCTGTGCTGCACGGTGAGGCTCGAGCAAAGACAACTCACCAAGCCGGCCGTGACCGTCGAACGAAACTCCGTCGGCTGATGCGCTCAGCATGCCAACCTCAGCAGCTATATGAAAGAACGAGCTGAGTCCCGCCGGAAGTGGCGCGTTGTGGAGCCCCGCCCACCTCGACACCGAGCTGGTGCATTCTGACTCAATCGCCCGTCTGAAGCAATCAGCTAGCTGCTGCTCACCCGACGTCCCTCCCGACGGAATCAAGGCTAGTAAGCCGCGAAGGGCAGACTCGCTTGCTTCCAAGTTCCCTCGCGCCCATTCCACAAACACAGGGCGAGCATCGCGTAGCTCCTCTTGGTGGGCGAGTTCGCCCCGGTGGTGTTGCACAAGCAGGCAGTAATAGCGGACGAGGTTGCAGCGAATGCGCTCCCGCTCCCGCAGGAGCTCGACGCACTGCTGGCGTGAGGAGAACGGCGCCCAAGCGTTCCAGAGCCTGGAGCTTTCCCCTGCGTCTCGCCACGCCCGTGCCACGCTCAGCAGAGGCAGAACCTCAGTGGCAGTAAGATACGGTGCCAGCCACACAAAGAACACAGAGTCGCTGTCGCCGGGCTGCGCATCAAGCAGAGCCAGGCTGTCGCCGCGGCATGCAAGAGGCGCTGAAGGGAGGCTGAGGTCTAGCGCGCGCTGGGAGGCGGCCGCGAGGAACGTGTCGGACATTTCGGCGCGATTGTACGTCCGTCCGTCGCACATCAAATCAACTCAGCTTTCAGAAAAAATTAATTTCGTGCCCCCTGCAACAGCCCGAACCGCTCCTTCCCGGCGCGCTTTCTTTTATGTTAGTCCACTGGCTGGCCCCTCCCAGAGAGGGAGGTAGGTAGGTTGGTCTTGTTTGGCCCAAAAGGGCCGTAGATAGCCCGTAATTATAAATTTTCTTCTTTTTTCGCTTCGCTGCGCGGCCTGGGGGTAGGTGGGTAGGTAGGTAGGGCGTTTTGGCGCGAGTCAGTGGGGACAGACCCCCTATCCGGGTAGGAAGCCGCTCAGCTTTCTTTTGTGTGTGTGCGGCGGCTTTGGCGGCAACCTCGGCCACGACAGTGTGCAGTTGGAGTGCACTTACAATAGGTGCTCCTGCTTTTTCTCATTCGATCTCACACGACAGCTCTGTGTCTTGATTTGCCACATGGCGGTCGGCCTCGTGAGTCGGTTGTTTGTCACCGGCCTCCTCGCAGCGCTCGCCTGTCCGTGCTGCGTCGATGGCCTAGCACGCGCGCGTGGCCGCGCCGGCCGTGGTCGCAGCGCAGCGAAGCCCAGCGGCGACCGTGCCGCACGCGTGTGGGAGACGCAAGCATGGTCGCACAAAGCCGCCGGCAGAGAGAGTCGCGGCAGCGGCGGCGGTGGGAGGAGTCGCGCGGCGAGGCGGTCGGCGGTCTACGACGCGCTTCGCGAGTACGACTCGCGTTGGCAGAGCCTCCTGCTCTCCGAGTGGCGGTCGGAGCAGGACCTGCTTCGTGAGCAGCTGAGAGAGTGGCCTGAGCGGAGGCTGGAGCGGGAGGGCTGGCTGCTCAAAGACCTGGAGGTGATGCGTCTCCCCGACTGCTTCGGCGAGCCTGTTCTCAAGTGCTCGCTGCGCGCCTCCCGCGGCGGCGGCGGCGGCGGAAGCCTCTCTCCCATCCGCGCAGCCTTGCCCTTCCATCGCTTTGCCACGGGCGACGTGGTCACGCTGTGCTCGGGCAGCACTCCGCGCCTCCCCGCCTGGCTCGAGGACCGAGCGCCGGCGAGCCAGGCCGCCGAGGGCGCGATCGAGGGTGTCGTGTCGCAGCGCACGGCCACGGCGCTGCACATCGTCGTGCGGCAGCTGCCCGCTCTGCTCGAGCCGGCAGCGGGCCGGCGGCAGGCCGCGACGGCGCACCCGTTCTGCCTCGCACGTGGCGCGTCTGCGGTGCCCTTCGAGCGCTGCAGCGCCGCCGTCGCCGCTCTCTCGGACCCGCGGCTCGCGCCGAGCACCCTCTGCCCGGAGCTGCGCTCGCTCATTGCCTCTCCGCCCACGCCGGCCGCGGGCAGCGCGGCGGGCGGCGCGCTGGCGGAGGGCGCGAGCCTGCCTCCCGCCTTCCTCGGCCGGCGGGGCAGTGCGAGCGCCGCGGCGAAGGCCGCGACCAAGGCCGACGCCGGCGAGCTGCTCCAGCGGCTGAACCCGAGTCAGCTGTCGGTGGTGCGAGCCGCCCTCGCGCGGCGCTGCACTCTAGTGCAAGGGCCGGCGGGGAGCGGCAAGACGAGGACGGCTTGCTTCCTGCTGGCCGCCGCCGTGCGGATGCGCCAGCAGCGGGATGGCGGCGCCGGCGGCGTCTTGGCCGCAGCAGCCTCCAACGTCGCTGCCGACGAGCTGCTCGAGGGGCTGCTGGCGGCGGGCGTGTGCGCTGTCCGCGTCGGGCAGCCCGCGTCGGTGCGAGAGTCGCTGCGGAGCGCGACCCTCGATGCGGCGCTCGAGCGGAGTGCACCCGTCGCCGCCGCGCGCGACAGACTCCGCGCCGCCCAGCGGAGCCGCCAGGCGGGCGGAGGGTCGGGCGGCGGCGTGTCGGAGGCGTTCCAGGCCGTTCGACGCGCCGAGGCGGCGGCGTCGCTGCGGCTGCTCAAGGCGGCCGAGGTTGTGGTGGCGTCGTGCGTCGGGGCGGGCAGGCTCCTCGAGCTCCTCGACCGCGGCGGCGGCGGCGGCAGTGGCGAGGGTCGGGGCGGCGGCGAGGGCGAGCCGCTGTCGTTCGAGACGTGCCTCATCGACGAGGCGACGCAGGCGACGGAGCCGACGAGCCTGGTGCCGCTGCTCTTTGGCGCGCAGCAGCTGGTCCTCGTCGGGGACAGCCAGCAGCTGCCGCCCACCGTGACGGACATCGCTGCGAGCCGAGAAGGCTTGGGCACCTCGCTCTTCGAGCGGCTGCAGGAGAGCGGCGTGCAGCCGCTGCTGCTCGACACGCAGTACCGGATGCACCCCTCCCTCGCCGAGTTCAGCTCGCGCCGCTTCTACGGCGGCCTCCTCCGCTCTGCCGTTCGGCCCGAGGAGCGGCCTCCGCCCGCCGGGTTGCGCTGGCCGGACGCCGGCTTCCCAGTCGCCTTTGTGGCGGTGCGCGGGCCCGAGCAGCGCTCCGCGGCGGAGCCGGGCGGCGCGGACGCGCCACGCTCGCCGGAGGACGAGGGCGGCACCTCGTACTCCAACGCGGCCGAGGCGGAGGTGGTGGCGCGGCTCGTGCGCGCGCTGCTCGACGCGGGCGACCCGCGGCCGTGCGACTTGGGCGTCATCACGCCGTACAACGCGCAGGCGCTGCTGCTGCAGCGCTCGCTGTGCGAGGAGGAGGTCGAGGTCAAGTCGGTGGACGGCTTCCAGGGGCGCGAGAAGGAGCTCATCGTCTTCTCGGCCGTCCGCTCCAACGCGAAGCGGCAGCTCGGCTTCGTCGCCGACCACCGGCGGCTGAACGTCGCCCTCACGCGGGCCCGCCGGGGGCTCGTCATCGTGGGAGACGAGGCGACCCTCGCGGCCGACCCGACGTGGCGAGAATTGCTGTCCTTCTATCGGCGCAGGCGCTGCGTGGTAGGGTCCGCCGACGAGCTGCTGCCGAGATGCGAGTAATTGGCGAGGCGCACTTCCGGCGGCGTTTTCTTTTCTTCAACTTCATATCCGGCCCCGTATATCCACACGACGACCCCCACGCAAGACCAAGAGGCGCCACAGAGGAAGTGCGTGATGTGTGCTAGGATGTGTGTACTAAGATTGAGATTGCGATGTACCCGCCCCCCCCCCTCCGACCCCCCCCCTTTGGACGCGTCCACCCTCCCGGTGCCCAAAACTCGCGATGGCCCTCTTTTACATTCATTTTCATACATAAAAAGAAGTCTCACAACGCCGACGACCTTTTCTCGGTGCGCAAGAGGCCAGTGCGGTACCTCGCCATGGCAGAGTGGCAGAGTGGCAGAGTGGCAGGGCTTACCTCGCATCAGAGCCTATCGGCGAGAAATCTCATGCTTCAATGCTGAGATACTGCCCGAGGGCGAAGAGGAAGATATTCTCGGGAGAGCGCGGCGTCCGGTGCGCCGCGGGCGGCCAGCCGCCGCACAGCGTGCATCGCCACCACGGCGGCGGCGGCGACGCACACGCACGCAGCTCCAAAAATTGCCAAACGCGACCTGAGCAGACTCTGCACGAAGGACGGATGGTACGTGACCTCATCGCGCGCGGTGCACGAGACCCTCTGCCGCGTGCACGTCGCGAGGTACCGCACCTGGGGGTCGTCAACCGCGTACACGAGCTCGACGCCGCTGCTGACTGCCCACACGTGAATCAGCCGCTCCGTCACGTAGCCGAGGCAGCGGTCAGCCCAGCGGGCGGTGTACAGCTCCATCGTGCTAAAGGGGCACGTTGCGTTGTAACGCGCAACAAACGCCTCCACGAAGTCCTCAAGGAACATGGCGTACTCTCGGAGGAGGGGCGCGGGCATGATCACGTAGTTGCCGAATGGCCAGAATCGATCAGGCGGCATTTGGCGGTCGATGAGGGAGACGTCGATGGGCGCTAGCCCCCGCCGCGACGGCTGCTGGTTCATATCACGCAGCGTCTGGAGCAGCACACGGCGCATCCCCGCGTGGTGCAGGTCAAGCAGCCGCCAGTAATCGCCGGCGAATATCCCATACCAGAAAAGCACGGTGCGGGGTGCGCCCGGTGCGCCGTCTTCTCGGCTCGCGAGGATCGCCTCTTCGACTTTGACCCAGTCGAGCGAGACGCCCTCCTGCCACACCGCCTTCGTCTGCTCGTTGTACGTGGCAAAGCCCACCCACTGCTTGTCGTACCACTTAGATTTGGCGATTGCCAGCAGCGCGGCGCTCTCTCCGAGCTGCAGCTGCTTCGCTGGGTCGGACAGCGACGGCAACTCGTTCTGAATCGTCAGTCCGTTAGGGTCCACCGGCTTGGGTGTGAGCGAGAGTGGGACCAACGCGTCAGAGGGATGCCAAGCGCCGAGGTCGGGCCAAATGCGAGCCCACGAGGCGCGGTTGTAATATGCGACGAACAGGCTCAGATAGCGGCCGAGCTGCGCCAGGCGGAAGTACGAGCGCCGCCAGACGGCAGTGAGCTCATCGTAGGCTGGGTCTTCGTCGTCAATCTGGTCGACCGCAGCCAGGCACTTGCGCAGATCGGACGGGCGAAAGCGCGCCAGAAAGGCGCTGCGCGACCAGGTGGCGTGAGGCTTGGTGCCGGTGAAGTGCAAGAAGGTGGTGCGGTCGAGAGAGAACACGGATGGGTTGTGCTTCTTGTTGCTCTTCTGCATGTTGAATGTGATAGGCAGCACCGCAGCGCTGTCGCCAAAGATAAACCGTAGAAAGCCCTGCTCGGCCTCTGCCGACCTGAAGTCAGTCGCCTTTGCTTTGCGCAAAGTCGAAAGCATGCAGCTGAGGAGAGACGTCGACGGCCGCACGAAGAGCACGCCACCGTTGGCCTTGGCGTCCATCGGCGGCCGCGTCCAGGCGCCCCAGTCTGCCACGGTGAGGTACCGCGCTGTGCTCTTGCGCACGATGGGATTCGAGAAAAAATCGTCGGCGTTGCGCAGGGCGATTGCGTCCGAGTCGACGTATAGAATCTCGTCGAACTGACGCATGCCAAAAAGGTGCAGCTTGGCGTAGTTGCGCGTCCAACGAGGATGTTCGCGGGAGTGAGCTGGTGGTGCAACCACGCCCCACTGTACAATGCTAACCTGGTGGGGGCGAGCTCCAAAGTCTCGATCGATCATGCGACGAACCGATCGATACAGCGCTTTGAGTGCCGGGCTTGAGGGCTCCAGCACCGCAACGAGTATCGGCAGTCGGGAGCCAGCCGAGCGCAAACTATGCAGTAGCACGCGGGCCGATACCAGATAGCTCGGCGTGCTCACGAACGTGACGATCGCCCGAGTGGCGCTCCTTCTGGTCGCGTGGCGCTGCTCAGCAGCAGACATGATCGTCGTGTTTTGGCAAATGTCACAGGGTGGCAGGTACTGCTGCATCTCTGGCTGCAGGCTGCGGAGGTGATGCGCCTCCGTCGCAAGCTGGACCCGTTGCATGGCCGTGAGAGCGAGTGAGTGAACGCCCGTGATTCTTAAAACCGGCGGTCCAACGTAGAATGGCGAGTAGTTGAACCAACCCGAGCCTCGCAGCAAATGATCTGTGACCAGCGCCTCCAGCGTCATCTCTGTGGCCCGCTCCCGCTCTTGGCACGACCCTGGACCCTTCGACGAGGAGGCATCGAAGCACGCGAACGCATCGACCACTGCGGGCGTGCCTGCGTGCCCCGCTGCTAGCAGCGACAGCAGAGACTCGACGAGCCGTAGGCGCAGAAGGACCGCGGGCAAGCGGGGAGGCGCCGAGTCGCTCCGCACCGGGCACAACTCGTAGTGCAGCACGAGGTTTTGCGGGGCTTGCCTGGGATTGTGCCTGTGACTAGGGCGCCGTTGACATCGAGGCCTGATGCGCACCGCTTTTGGCTCAACTGCTCGCGCACCGCTTTTGGTCCAACGTAGAATGGCGAGTCGCCCAGCGTCAGCCTTGTGGCTCAGCACTGTGTGAAGCGTCTGGTTCCATACGTCGGCGAGACGGCGCTCTTTGCGTGCACCCGTGGGGATGTCGGCTTCTGCGCCAGCAGCGGTCGCACGCTGCATCTCTTCGATGAGGGAAGGGTGGCAGATCCGCACGCCCGCGTCCACGAGGCAGGGATCGCCGCCCTTTGGACCCGTGGATAACGCGGCCGCCCCTCCGAGGAGCAGTGCGGCGGCGGCCACGCGGACTCGGGCAGCGGATACGTGCAAGACTCCCGCACCGACGAGGCCCGTCTCGACCAGCTTCCGTACCTGCTGGGCAGCTGGCCACGACTCGGGCATGTTCAGGACAGAGCCCGCAGTCGCCGTCTCAAAGCCGGGCGGAGAGAGCGTCGGCTCCGTCGAGTGCACTCCGATGCAGTCCGAGCCGCTGGCGTCGCCCGCAGTGGGACCGCCCTCGGCGGCCGCGACACCCGCAAGCAGCCCGAGCAGATGACGGAACATGGCGAGCGCAATAAACCCGGGACGGCCGCGATGCCCGGGTCTTCCGCCACCGCCAGCCGCGAGCTAGAGCGATGCCGCGCTACGCTACCAGAGGCGGCCGAGGCACACGCCGCGAGTGCAACCCCTGAAAAAAAGAAAGAAGATGCCGCCTCGGGACGGATGGGAGGACGGCACGCCGCCACCACACAACCCCTAAAGAAAGAAAGAAAGAAAACAGACACGCCAAACGAGGGATGGGACGAGGACAGGGTCCCCACCTGCACAGCAGGATTTTGGAAGGACGATCAGGGGGACAGGTGGGGCTCTCCTGCTCCTGACAAGGGTCACGACAGGCTCGCAGCGCGGTGCGCGGTGGACTCCCACATAACCCCAAAGAAAAGAAAGAAAACAGACAACCCAAGGGAGGGATGGGAGGACGGCACGCCGCCACCACACAGGGATTTTAAGGAGAGGTGTGTGATGCGCTAGCCGTCGCCCACCCTAGGGAGTCTGCCTCTTCCTATCTCTCTTCGCAGTCTCTCGCCGCTTCTCGCTGCAGCCTTCATGCCACCTCGCGGTCGTCCCACTCTCGTCGTTCTCTCCCTTGTCATTTCCTCCTCTGTCGCGTCGTTCCCTTCTGCCTCGTCCTGTGACGCCGCCGTTGGGGCAAACGTAGATTTCCCGAAATATTTTGAGAAATATGACAGGCTTGTTCGGAAGGAGAAATTTCCGGAAATTTACCATGCCTGTGACAAGATCCTACTATTCATATACGAGTACTGTTCCCAATCATACTGTGCTCACTCAGCCCACGCGGCGCTCGTTGATGCGGAGCATTAAGGCCGTCTGGATGATATCTGCCAAGGTCTCCATTTGTTGGTCGCCGAACATTGACTTGAGCATGGAGAACACACGCTCCGCCGCGGCTGAGTTGGGCGTGAACGCGAAGATGATCTGCGCCGCCTCCGCCCACGCCGGGAACTTGGATGCCTTCCAGCGCTTCCTCGGTTCGCACTGGCGAGGCAGGCGCAGACTGGATGGTTGTCTCCTCCTGCGGTGCGGAATCGCCGGCAGCGGCACCTTGCAGGGTGGCGAGGTACTCCGTGTCCATGTCGTCGTCGCTCATTGCTTTCGAAGGTTGAGATTGGCGTGGGTTTTGGTGGCAAGGTTGACGCGAATGACACTGACGCCTGAATGACACTGACGCCCGATGACCTGCTTGACCGGTGACCGATGACCGCTGACCGCTGACCGATGACCAGCGTCAGCCTCTCCGCGGAGGCGCACCATCACTGCCGCGCGGGCCTGCCGGCTCAAGCAAGGCACGGCAGGCCCGCACGGTGCCTGGTCCAACATGGGTGTCCAACATGGGCGAAACGGAAAGGGTCGAAACTTGAGGGCGAAGAAATTTCTCGCAAATTTGCCGTGGTGGGGCACGAAATAAAGACGAAATAAATGAAAGAAATATCCTTACGCTGGGCAGGAAATCTACGTTTGCCCCAACGCCGCCGCCTGCCGGTCCCTTGTTCTCGCGGCTTCTTTCGCCTTTCGGCGCAACTCCGTCCTCCTCGCGGCGTATCCTGGCCCCTCGAGTGTATCGAGCTCCCCTCGCGCAAGGACCACATTTCTGACTCCCACTCCGAGCATTTGCCTCCAAGTCATATCGTTGCTCAGGTCCACTCTCTCTTCGAACACTCGTGCCTCTACGGATGATGCCGGCGCTGGGGTCCCCTTCGGGTGCATCGTGACATCTGACAACTGAATTTCCACTGGTTCGTCCTCCTCGGAGTCGTCTTCCCCCGCTGCCTTCCGCTCGGCTCTACGTTCGGTACGTTCGGCGTGGCTCACCCTCCATGCCGTGAAAAGGCGCTTTATCCACCCTATATTCTTCTCTCGTTCCTCTGCCCGTGCCTTGGTCTTGTCGTTGTTCCGCACCCATGTCTGTATGGCCCCACATAACCCCTGCCGATGCTTCCCAGACCGCAGAATTCTTCTCGAGCGGAAACGAATTCTGGTCTGAAGGGGAAAGCCTCGCCCCGGTCTTCTCGCCTCCCCTCGAAAAATGCTCTGCGCCGCGATCGCCTTCTCGGCGGCGGTGTCCTGGGAGCTGCGAAGCCGCAGCGTCTCTCTACACGAGTCCAAGGCGTACAACGTCACGACCGAGGAGTACTTCAGTTCGGGCGTTACCCTGAGGCCAGGCCACATGATCTTCACGAACCCGCGCAAGACTCGGCTCGAGATGCCAGCGGGGCGGTATGCGATCACCGGCTTCTGGGGCGACATCGTCGACGCCGACCACAAGCCGGTCCCGCTCTCCAAGATATACGACCACCACTGGGTCGCCATCAACAATCGGCACAGGAACGAAATTTGCGAGACGGTGCCCTACGTGTTTGGAGTCGGCGCAGAGTCGCGACACAACCCGGTCAACCTGCCCGCCGGATACGGCTACGTTGTGGACGAGACTGTCGAGTGGGGCGCCAACATCCACCTGCTCCGCATCGACGGCCTGTCTGAGGCCGCGGCCAAGGAGTGCAACGAGTGCTACTACGCGCCGGGCAAGGGCAAGGAGTGCACGGCCGCGCAGAACGGCACCTTCGAGTGCTGCGGCGAGCGGGACTACGACGGCGTCGGCTCCTGTCCCGCGCAGCGCGCCGACCTGCCCGCCGAGACTTTCTACCTGCGCTATCGTGTCAGCTACACGCGAGAGCTGGCCGCAGTCGCGCCCGTGCACATCTCCGTCGCCACCGCGCCCGACTGCGCCACCTTTTACGCCGTGCTGCGCGACGAGCGGAGGCCGGAGCACTTGGCGCAGTACGAGTTCGAGACCCCGACCGACGTGACCGTCCTCTTCGCCGCGGGCCACCAGCACGTCGGCGCACTCAACATCTCCCTCTTCGTCAACGAGCGGCGCGTGTGCACCTCGTACCCGCGCTACGGCGCCGAGCGCGGCGTCGCGGGCGACGAGCTCGGCTACCTCGTCCAGATGTCGCCCTGCGCCGACGCCTCGACCGGCCCGCTGGCGTGGACCAAAGGCGACACCGTGCGGATCGACTCTTGGTACAGCGTGGCGCCGCACGACCCGCGGCTGCAGTACTCGGACGGGACGCACCTCAACGTGATGGGGTATATGTACATGGTGTACACGCGCGGAGAGGATGCGGACTCGCACTCGCCGCTCCTCCGCCCACCGTCGCCCGGCCGGGAGGATCCCCTGGATGGCTTTGCGATGCTGCAGGCGCCGCTGGAGGGGTCGACGGTGCGTGGCACTCGCGCGTGGAAGCGCGTGCCGCTGCAGGCGGCGGCGGCCTGAGCGAGATCTGGACGCTGCGGACGTCCCTTCTCTCGCTTAGTTTGCGTCGAGCTCTGCGTTCGCGGTCTGTGGGATCGAGAGAGTTGCATCGGTTTGTGTGTCGGCTACGTTATGTGCTCTCTTGTGCTGCGGGACGGTGTCGGTGTCCTACGGTGAGACGGGAGTCGCGCTCGAGTCCATGCTCCTTGCTCGAGTCTCACACCCGCCACCTCGCGCGTGTATCGTGTATTATACGTAAAGCCGTACGTACAAGGTAACCTACAAGGTACATGGAATATTCCATGTATACCTTGTACGTACGTATAATACAAATTCCAATACCACCACTGAGAACAACTAGAAACGCAGCTGCCCCACACGGTGGCCATGCCGAAAAACGTACGTAGAGCCGTGCCTACGTGGACTAGAGTCTAGAGCGTATAGAGAGGCCAACCCCTAGAGGCGCCGCTTAACACAGTCAAACACTCCGAATATGACCGCCTGCCCGGAGCCAATCTTCAGGGCGCGCGCGCTCATCCCGCGGGTGAGGGTGACCCACCCTTCCGCTGCGATCATCTCCCGCACCGTGCCGACCTGTGCGCCTAGCCCGCCTCCTGCTGGCGCTGCCTGGATGCGCGTCTTGACGACGTCGACCGGGTTCGTGAGGACTACAGATACGACGCCGGTCATCCCACCCGCGATGGCCGCCGACCCAGACACGCCCTTGAGCGCCGCCTTGAAGTGGTCGTAGAAGAAGAAGCGGAGCCCGTTCGCCAGCATCTGCCGTGCCGCTGTCGGCGCCGCGCCGTGCCACAAGCCCGCCACGCCCTGCTCCCGGACGAGCGCGCCTGCCGCGTGGAAGACGGACGAAGACGCGCCGGCAGAGTGAGCCCCGGCCCTGAGCTCCGCCGTCCGCAGGATCTTGAGCCGCTCGGTCGGCGCAACCAGCACAAGCGCCTCTGTCAGCCCCGCGAGCATGCCGCACGTGAACGTGCTGCCCGGGAGCATGCGCTGGTACGTCTCAAACGCCACGAAGCGGAGGGACGACTTGGCGGAGACCTGGAGCAGCTGCGGCTGCAGACCATAGTAGAGGCCACGCACACCCTTCTTCGCGACGGTATCACGCGCGTTGAGAAGGATCGCGGGCGGTCCGTGGCCTATCATGCGAGCAGAAGTTACGCAGACTGTACCCGGCCACCGGCACCGTCTGAGTGCTCACCCATCTGGATGCGATTCTTTGTAACCTCGAACGGCATTGTGGCGAGAGCCTCTGCGACACCTGCGGTCGCTCCCGCCACCATGGTCTTGTTCCTCTCGTTTGTGAGCTGCGGCATCTCTTTGCGGTCTGCAGACGTGCGTGCAGCTTATTGTAGCTGGCTAGCGCACCGGGGCGGGCTGCGCTGTTCCGCCGGTGCGAAAGGTTTCTTTGCGGTCAGCCTTGGTCGATCTGCGTTCTCGAGACTGGAGCCGGGCTTGTGCGTGCTGACCGCAAAGAATTACACCCACGTCGGCGTGAGGTTGATGACCGCACTCCAAGTGCTCCAAGCGCGGTGTCGAACCACCAGCCCGACGCTCACTACAGTGATCCCTCGCACGACACTGGGCACGGGACTGGCGCGCACTGGAACCCAGGCCCTCCGGGTCGCACAGCGCCCGCACACACACACACACACACACACACACACACACACACACACACACACACACACACACGCACACACACACACACACACACACACACACACACACACACACACACACACACACACACACACACACACACACACGCACGCACACACGCACACTCGCTCTCGCACACACATGCATGCATGCACAGACACACAGCCTCTTCCTTCCATCCACCCCCTCAAGACCTCAAGGACGAGGACACACACAGGACGCACCTCAAGCGAAGCCCACATAGTATGTGGCGGGAGACTCCTGCCGCCGCCCCTGCCACCCCTGTCAGTGTGCCTTGTGGTAGCGAGAGACTGCCAGTTAGAAACTGGAGGCAGGTCGCAGTCGAGAGAGATCGCCAGTGGTATAGGGAGTCCACCGAGCTGCGAACCTGTCGCTGTCCCTTGTCAGGAGCAGGAGAACTAGGAGAGCGCAACCAGTAGAAGGCCCGCGCCTGCCCCCGTGCCGCCGGGTGCGACTTTGTCCTATACGAGAAGGGGAATCCCTGGGACCCTGTCGTGTGGGTGAACCCTGCCCAGCCCCCCTCCGAGTCGCGATGCGCTCCCCGCTCCCGTTCCCCTGTGTCCCTGATCGTCCTTCCAAGATCCTGCTCGTGCAGGTGGGGACCTTGTCCTCCTCCGACCTCCCATCCCTCGTTTGGTTTGTCTGTTTTCTTTCTTTATTTGAAAAATTCTTTATTTGGGTGGGTGGGGGAGACGGCTAGCAACACACCTTCCTTCCCGTGAGAAATCCCTGTGTGGTGGCGGCCTGAGCCCTGGTCTGGCAGCCTGACAGCAAACCCCGGACAGCGCCTGACAGTGCCCGACAGCCTGACAGCGTCGACTCGTTGACAGCACTTTCTCTGACAGAGGCTGACAGCACGTATCTGACAGCCTGGCAGCAGAGCCTGACATCAGAGGCGACCCCCGTCGCTGTCAGGCCCTAACGTGACAGCCTGACAGCTGCCCGACAGCCCGACAGCTCACAGTGGCCTGACAGCAGCGCTGACAGCCCGACAGCCCAACCAGCCCGACAGCAGCACCTGAGCAGCACAGACTGTACACAGGCCGTGCAGCCTCTTTCTTGTGCCCCATGAGGGTATAACAAAACTGTATTCATGCAAAGACATGTGAGAGAACAGTGTGGTCCATGTCCATGTAGTCATGGGATGGTCATGGGTTCGAGTCATGGGTATCTCTCTCAACCCCGCCCCACCTCTGCGGACCCGCGGCTGTGCTACTACAAATGAAGCTACCAGCTAGCCTTCTGGGGCCCTACAGTCATATGCCTATACTGGGTGGGGGTGGCCGCCCGTCTGTGCCGCCGCCTGCGCTTGCGCCTGCGCCGCCATCTGCGCTCCCAATGGTTGGGTAGTAGGGCTAGAGGGTCGCTCTACACTTAGCCTCTGCAGCGAGCGAGCGCTCAACTTAGCCCCCGCACGGAGCCGGGCTCAGACTTAGACGCTGTATGGTCGGGCGCCATGAACTTAGACGACACAAGGCCAACTCCGGGTATACCTGAAAAGCTCGAGGTTTACCCGAAAAATACCTGGACACGTCCCGACAACGTATGCCGCGCACGACGCACGACGCCATATCGCCAGGGCCAGTGCGCTACTTGCGGCGCGCAACGCCTGCTCAAGTACGCGCACCGTACCATGTGCTGCCGCTATGCGTGTCTTAAGGCGGCTGCGGCGAAGCGGCGGGCGCGGCATGCCGATGGCAGTGCGGACGATGCGGTTGCGATGTGTTCTGCTTCAAGATCGTGGCGGTGCTTGGCATGCACTTCTGCGATCCCAATCAGCTCATCGCAACGAAGCAGCGCAACAAGCTGGCTGCTGCCAACAAGGCCCTATGCTAGATCTACCTCACGCGCGGATCGTTCAAAGAGGACCAGCATACACAGGCTTCCTTGACATGCGTTTGTTTGAGCTTGAGGCTATTTGTGAGAACTGTTTGGCTTGAAGATTGCGCTCAAGAAGAGCAACGAGAATCGGAAGAGGAGGATGCTGAGGCGGCGATTGCTGAGCATGAGAAGGATCGATCCGGATTAGAAGGCGCCCGCCGCAGGCGAAGAAAATTTGGGGGCTAGCGCCGTATCGTTGATCACGGTGGGAGCCTCTTGGCCCCAGGCTGTGCCACGGCCGACTTAGCCGATGTAAGAGGCTCTCGCTGATCTTAGACCGCGTAAGCACCCCAGCGTGACTAGTCACACTTAGACCCGCTCAGCCTCGAGGCTCAGAACTTAGACTACTACCCAACCAGTGACAGCACTGACAGCACCTGACAGCACGAGCTGGTCTTACAGAGGCACCTGACAGTGCCTGACAGTGCCCGACAGCCCGACAGATCACTTGACAGCACCTGACAGCCTGACAGCCAGGGCTCAGGTGGCGGCGTGCCGTCATTCTCCCATCCCTTGGGCGTGTTTTCTTTCTTTTTTGTAGCTTGCGCGTGTCGTCGTCTTCTGTCTCGCGTCCACCCATACCGCGTTGGTGTCCAGTCCGAGCCAGACTATTGCAATATTCTTCATTTCTACCGAACCTAACCTAACGGGAAACAGCCTCCAGAATCCTGCAAGATCCAGCTTCCCCTCATTTGAGTTTCTGTGTGTTTCTTTCTTCTTTCCAAGATCCTGCACCTCTGCTCGTGCAGGTGGGGACCCTGTCCTTCTCCCACCCCTCGTCTCCGTTTTAATTATTTATCCTGGTGTCCCAGTCGTTGGTCTAACTGTGTTTCACCTTCGATACACATACATATTAAATACAAACCAGTTTCCAACGGCCAGACCGCTCGCTTAAGGCTGATTGGCTAGACGAGCGGTCTAACCTCCAACGGGGCGGTCTGGATCACGGGGAATGACATCCTGGCTGACTCCCGGCACGCCGGGAGGAGGTGCAGGTGCGGTTGCTCCGCCGCCGGCCCCCTCCGCCTCCCCCCTCCACCACCCTCGCCCAGGGTGCAGGGATTTACAATGCTGTTTTAAGGTCCGACCTGTGGGCTCTGCCTGCGCTCGGCACCGGGCACCGCCTCGGTATACAAAATGCGCCTGCGGGCGGACCACCTGAGCTTACTCCTTACAGATCACACTTCACAGATCACAAACCACAGTGATCACAGTGTGTGAACCACTGTGCCGCGGGATGCTTCACGGCAACCACTTCAAGGATCAAGCTCTCTAATTCTCGATAAACACGGTCGAAACGGACGCAACTCACAAAGGGACACACCTCGCAAACGGCAACGGCTACAAATTCTTTGAGGGCTCCCACATCAGATCACATTACACACAGACATACACTGTATCCTATCATACACAAGACGACACGCACGGCACACAATCCACGACCACTACAGAACACTCACAACGGCCCGAACGGGAAGGCCTGACCAGCCTGTCTGCCCTCAACCTCTAATAGAGCTCCGCCGCCGCCGAGCCCTCGCCCGCGCCCGCCTTGCGGAGCCCCTTCTTCACCACAACGACGACGGCGAGCACAAAGCCAGCAAGGCCGGCCAAGAGTAGCGTCAGCCCGCCCGGCCCGCCGGCGGTCGGCACGCTTGCTGCGGCCTCGGCAACGAGCCCAAAGCCGGTATAGTGCGTGTTGGCGGTGCCCCACCCGGTGCCCCACCGGCCGTAGCCGTAGGCGGGGCGGCGGCGAGCTGGAGGAGGAGGCCTCGGGCTCGGAGGCGGCGGGCGGCGTGAAACGACTGGAGCGTGCGCCTGCTGGGCCGTCACCGCTGGTGCCGCGGCGACCCCCGCGGTCGAGGCGTGCTTGCGCGCCGACGCGGCTTGAAGCTCCGCCGGAGTTGGGCACGGGTGGCCGCAGCACCAGTCCTGGGCCATCCCCATCGCCATCGAGACCATCGAGACCGAGACGCCAAACTTGAAGCTGCCGGTCGACGTGCAGGACGAATCGCTCGAGACGCAGTGGGAGAGGCAATTGAGCATCTCGCGGTTGCAGCTCTTGGTCAGCATGGTGGAGAAGGGCGGATTATTGCCGCCAGGCGCGCAGCAGATGTCGTGAGATCGGCAGCAGCTATCGGCGCACGACGGCCTGCCGCTCCTTGTCATCTGTGGAGGCCCGTAGTGAGGGCCGCAGTGGTTGCCGTCCGCGTCCCACTCGCTGTGGTGCCCGCCGTTGCACCAGCCCTGCCCGCAGAAATTTCCACAGCCCAGCGAGTGCCCTCCGCTCGTGCCGCCGCCTTGCTTTGGCGGCGGCGAGCTGGTCACCGCCGCCACCGACGTTCCGCCCGCCAAGCCGCCGATGTGGTTCAGCCTGCCTCCAATGAAGGGCAGGCCGAGCGGTACGGTGAGGAGAGAGAGCATCGGACTGAGAGAGGGGCGGCGCAGCAACAGGGGCAGCGTCGCCGCAACCAAGGGCAGTTTTGGGGAAGGGCAAGGGGGCGAGTCCGCTCAGCGTCGGCCTTCACGCCGAGTTTCGCATAATTTTTTCTTTTTAAGTGAGCTTTCAGCAGGTGTGAGCGGACGTCGCACCTTCGCGTCGCTCGCGCTCGCCATTTTGCGTAGGTATGCGAGTATCGCGTCGTACATCTCCGCGTCTTTTTTTACGTCCCCGCCCGCATTTTGTACACCTTTGTCTTTTCACTTTTGTTAACAACAAAACCCGGCAGTACAATGAGGGGTACAAGACTGACCTCGCAGAACCCCATGCGGGGCCAGGAGGATGCGATGAGGTGAATGAAGTCAAGCTCTGGACGCCCCTCCTCAAGACCTGCTCAAGACCTCCTCGCCGGGCGTTGGCAACGCCTCGAGTGGCGGCACGCCCGCCTCCGTTGGCCACTCCTACGCCTTCGGCAACACCGAGGAGAAGGCCCGCCGCCTGAACATGGGCTGCAAGGCGCGCGGGCAGCCCAGCCAACCCTTCTCCCACAAGACCGGCCACGGCTACGTCAAGGCGCATCGCGGTTTCTACCACGACGCGATCTTTGTCAAGCGCAACAACTTCAACCTGCTGCTCCACGAGACGTTCGGCGGCGGCTTCTCGCCCACCGCCGTTCTCAAGCTGCGCCGCCTCGCGCGCAAAGTCGCGCGCGGCAGCGTTGACCGCACGGCCTACTCGCCCAAGTACTCGCTTTCTTTTATGTCCCACCATGCAGAGCGCATCTCTCTCTCTGTTGTGCGAGGCGTGAACCGCGCCATTCGCTCTCACCTGGCAACCCTGTCTGCACGTCTCGCGCGCGCGTGAACAGGGCTCCAGGCCCCAAATTACGTGTGAGTGTTAGAGTTCAGTTGTTTGGTATTGCTAAAAATCTCTCTCTCTCTTTTGTTAAGATACCCCACAGAAGCGTGCCACGAGACAATCACACAGCAGAAGAGAGTGCTCACAGCCTCGCGGAATAACTCCTCGTTCCCCAGGGCCTGGGGCACATGCGGCATGGACTCTCGGGTGCTGCTCGGGTGTGATGAACGGAAAAGTCTCGGGAGCTAGGCCCCGCAGAGCCGACCACCCAACGGCGGGGGGTCTGCGGAGAGGGGCGCCGCCTCAAGGGAGGCGGGGCGCAATAGTAGAGAAGCGCAGGCCGGTGGCAGGTGGCCTGTGATGCGGGCTGCGCGACAGAGGGGCGACCCCCTCTGCCGCGGGCGGCGCGTCTAGGAGGGCGGGGAGAGTGCAGGCCGGGAGCCTCTACGGCTGCCGGAGCACGCTGACCCCGCCGCTCGCGCGAGCTCGTGCGGGCGTCACGCCGCGACAGGCGAGCTCGGTGCGGGCTGCAGCGTCGAGACGCCAAAGAAGCGCCGGCTGCTGTACTTCTCGCGGACGGCTTGCAGGGCGGCGACGTCCGCCGTGCGGTGGAGGTCGTACAGCGCGGAGGCGCAGCCGGCGAGGCGCGCGCGCGAGTAGCCGGTGACGGCCTGCGGTCGAGCGGGGCGGGCCGGCGGTGCAGCAAGGGCGGGGGAGGGGCGCACCGCGTCGAGGAGCCGCGGTTCAGAGGGGGCGGGGGGGCGGGGGAGGGGGGGGGGGGGGGGCGCCTCGAGGTCGGCGCTCCAGGAGGGGAGGCGGAGCGTGTGGAGCGCGAGGTGGATCGAGGCGGCCGCCACCTCGGACGGGATGAACTGCACGAAGCCGACCTCCGGCAGCGTGAGCTCGCACAGGTAGAAGCAGAGCGCCGTCGCGTCGGCGGCGAGCAGCGGGGTGCAGAAGCGGGGCAGGAAGGCGATCGAGGTGACTGCGGAGAGGTCGAAGTTGAGGCGCTGGAGGACGGCGCCCTCCATCGCGAGGATCTCGTCCCGCGTGTACGTGTTGTCCGAGATGTAGACCAGGTCGTCGACCGTCGGCGGGGAGACGTCCTCGTACTTTGCCGCGAGGAGCATGCAGCCGACCCCGACGAGCTGGAGCTTGGAGCGGGCGACGGGGACGTGGGTGAGGAAGCGGTCGATGTAGTTGACGCACAGGTGCAGCGTCTCGCGCTGCAGCTTGTACTCCTCCCCCACCTCGACCAGCCAGTCGACGAGGATGCCGCGCATGGTAGCGTTGATGTCGTGCTGCGACGCCAGGAAGTGGGGCGGCACGCGGTGGCGGAGCTCGCGCAGACGCAGGTAGGCGAAGATATCGTGCGCGATGTGCGCGCACTGCAGCGCGCACGGGCGCGCCCGGCGGCCCTCGCTGCCCTCCGAGTCGACCGCCATGGCCTCCTCAGCGGGCGCGAGAGCGGCCCGCTTCCCCTTCTTCCCCTGCTGCTGATCGCCGAGGTGGTCGGCCTGCCGCTGGCGCGCCGCCGCGAGCCGCGTCACCCGCATGCTGCCCGCCAGGCGCGAGGATGGTGGCGGCGCCGCCGAAGGCGCGCCCTTGTTGCCGCCGTTGGCAGAGCCACCGTTGGAGACGTTGCGGAGCGCCGGCCGGGGCGCGGCGGGTGCCCGCTCGACGGCGCCGACGCCGCGAGAGGAGAAGGTCGCGGACACCGAGCCGTAGGCCCCGGACGACCACATTCCGCGATGCCGGGCGAGCGAAGGCGAGCAACTGGGCCGACTGGTGGAGTCCTCGGCAGCCGTTGTCCGAGCGGGCTTGAGGGCAAAGAAAAGTTCGATCGCGAGTGATCCATTCCAAGGAGGATCGGGACCCTGGGAAGACGGGAGGTGAGCCCTCGGGCGGGGGGGTCTACTCAAGTGGCCTGTGCGAGTAAGCGCGGAGTGGTGGTGTGGGGCGTGCAGTGTGGTGGTTATCAGCTCCGAGTAGAGGGGGCGTCCTGCAGTTAAGGGGAAACCCGGTACGCGGGGCCAACCCTCGGAGACCCGTGTTTACTTTACAGCCCTTGCCCTGCGAACGCGCACTCCCCCTAGGGGTCAGGGCTCTCTAGCCCGTAGCCCGATATCGACCATCCGGCCAGCTGGGTGCGCTTCTTAGCTCCTCGGCCCTGGATGTGAGGTTACCGACTGCACTCCAAGTGCTCCAAGTGCTAGAGGGCGCGCTCCGCCGCTACGAAAGGCGGGAGAAGCCGCGAGAGCAAGGGATCGGCAGGCGGCGGCGGCGTCGCAGGATGAGGCAGACGAGAGCGACGCGACAGACAGAGGAGGAAGCGACAGGAGGGAGAACGACGAGAGTGGGACGACCGCGAGGTGGCATGAAGGTTGCAGCGAGAATCGGCGAGGGACTGCGAAGGGAGATAGAAAGAGGCAGACGACCAAGGGTTAGGGTGGGCGACGGCTAGCACCACACTCCTCTCCTTAAAATCCCTGTGTGGTGGCGGCGTGCCGTCCTCCCATCCCTCCCTTGGGGTGTCTGTTTTCTTTCTTTCTTTCGGTGCACGAGGGGCAAGCCGTCGCCTTGAAGGAGTCGAAGAAGTTTTGCCAGCCCTCGTCGGACGACATGTCCGAGATGCTGAGCTCTGGCCCACCTTCCCGCTGCTGGTGGATGGTAAACATGTTGTGGAGAATAGCGGAGGTGTAGATTAGCTGCGAGAGCCGCTTGTGGCCGAAGCCGTGCGCGCAGTGGAGCAGGAAGCGAAACCTGAGGGGCGCGCGGCGTGTCGCGGAGTGTCGTGGGCTTCGGCTGAGAGTCCCTTTAGGCCCAAGTGCGTACTCATACTAGCGGCATACCGGTTCTTCCACCGGCCGAAAGTCTCCTCGACAAAGAAGCGCGTCGACGAATGGCAAAAGTTGAGCCAGTGCTCCTGCTCCGTTTTCGGGTTGGAGTAGCCTTGGAACATGACTCCGTCGCCATCGCTCGCGCCGCCGTCGGTGATGATCATGCCGTTCGGGCCCAGCCATGCCCGGCGCGCCGCCTCGCCTACGGGGGAGACTGTCAGTTGGGAGCGCGGCCAAGCGAGCGAGTGCTATGGTGCAAGAGAGGTGAGAGGGCACACAGCGCGGGCAACGAGACTCACTCGACTTGATCGCCGCCAGATGCCGGTTGTCTTTGAGTACCGTGTTGTCTCCGCACCGCCCGGCATGGCCAGTGTCGACAGAAACAAAGAGATGGAACGAGTTGACGAACGCCACTGTCAGGATCGAGTGCCAGCCCTTGTAGTTTCGGTAGTCGCTCTCGTGGGTGTCAATCGGAACATGCGTCCCATCGCAAGCCTCCGCAACGTTGGGCACTCCCCGCCGTGCTGCAAACTCAGAGCGGACCCTGTCCAGCTGCGCCGCCGATGGCGGCGTGTTGGGCATGTAGATGGGCCTGAGCACAAGCATGACTGCAGCGGCAAACTGGTCGAGGTACGACCTCACTGTAGCCTCGCCGCAGCTGGCAGCGTCACCGCAGGTCTTGGGGGTGACACCCGTCTGTGTCAGGAAATAGAGGCAGACCGCCACCTTGAAGCGAAGAGGTCGGAAGAGTGTCGGGTTGCCCCGCCCGCCTTGCCTGCTCACCATGTATGGCGCCCCGGCTTCCAGCTGTCCAACGAGATCATCAAACTGGCGCCGCGTGCAGCGGAAGTTGGCCAGGTAGGTCGCATCGTCGCCCTTCAGCACGTAGTTCCAGATCGTGCTGCAGCTCCAGCCGCCCTCAGTCCGATGGATCTGGCGGCGGGGCGGAGGTGGAGGTTGAGTCTCCGCCTCCAGCTGCACCGCTGCGAGCACCAGAGCGGCGCCCGACAGCCGGCTCGTGCAGGGCCAGTGTCCGCCCTCGCGGCTGTGTCGAGGCAGCTCGACTCCCGAGGCGCGGCCTTTCAGGATGCCACGTGCGCCAACCGTCAACGCCACGCGCGAGAGCATGTATCCACTGTGCAACGCGGCGGCGCGATCAGTCACGGGACGACCGACGGAAGCCGTTAAGCC